AAAAAAAAAAAAAAAAAAAAAAAAAAAAAAAAGAAAAACGCGACCTACCGAGAAATTTGTTAATCTCAATCCATATCGAGAAGCGTAAGAATCAAGTGTACTTTTTATATACCATGGAGATATATCAATTTTTTTAAACTTTTAGAACTTGAAGATAATCTAGGAAAGATACGTACATATATTCTTTTCCTTGAAAAAAATAATAAAACTCGTCGTGATCTCTTTTATAATCTATAAATATAATATATAGTTCACATACACAAAAGAATGTATGTCTTTCACCGTTATTAATATAGTCACGCATGAACTTTTGTTGTTGTCTTGAATATTAATATAATATCAAGAAGGGAAGCAACTGTCTAAATAAATAAATAATAAAATGTAGTGATAAAAAAAAAAGTAACTAAGTAGTAATTAATTTTAAACTTGTTCGATTTTAAATTCATTTATCGCAATAGTATTATAACTCGTAAAAATATGAATGGAAAAAGCACGTTTCTTAAGTAAATTCACAATTTCAACAATTTATTTCTTCTATTACAGTTGCATATTACTACATCATAAACTATTCTATAATAACGTAGTGAAATAAATCAAAAACTAACCACAGTTATCTAATCCCAACCAACAACATCTCGCTTATTATGATACCTTCCTTATTTATTTCTCCATTACGAATGAGCTTTTCCTCCATCTCTCCCCCTGAGCTCGAAAGCGACAACTAGGGAAAGAGCCGTACAGGAACACTAGGGACTTTCGCGCGGCAGTTGCGCAAGCTGCGAAACAATTAGATGCAAATCCCGGCAATGGACTTTCTAAATTCACGTATGAATTAGTCCGAGAGGCCCGATTAAACCGCACACTGCGAGCTCCATGCTTGGATATTTACCCACGTAACGTATCCAACTCTCTCTCTTAATCTCTTTGTTCGCGAGATACGCAATACGAGAACGAAATGTACAAAATAATTAATATTTTCCGAAGGAAACGGGTCTGAAAATGGAAAGTGATTAATTAATTTATTTACATTTTATAACAACAGAACACGAAGAGAGATCTAGATTTATCAATTTTCTACGATGAAGAAAATTACTTCCTTTCGTACTTCCTCGTGGAATTTTCACAGTTAGAACTTGTATTAGAACAAGGTATTAAAAGTTATTATAATAAAATCCTTTTTTTATCTGGAATTAAATAGGTGATACATTTAGATTCGTGTTTTATCGAACTAGCTTATTTCAATAATTGATATTGCACGATAAAAAATGGAGTATATGACATCAATTTGGAACAAATATTAACAATAATTTATGATAACTGATATTTATCACGTCATTTCTGCTAATTTTACCAATCTTCATCTAGGAATCCCTAGAATTTACTCTAAGAAACTCTCTCTAGAATCTAGTCACCCTACTTGAATTCTTTTTCCCTAGAATCTACTTACCCTAAACGTAATATTTCATCACAAATCCTTA